CGGGGTTGTAATAATCTCAAATATTTGTATTATATTGATAGATAAATTAAAATAATTACTTAATTAAGAGTAGAACAACTCCTGTTGGACGAGTTGAACAGTCCAGTATACGCAAATTATATATGAAATCTACGAAACCTACGAAACCTGATTATGCATGTGATAGAATCGACTAGTTGTTTTCCTAAACAAAAAAAACGGGTATTATGTTATTTTTTTAATCCCTTTGACTAAAGGAGGTATAAGACTTACTCTAAATCCTTAAAATATATCTATGTTTCTCTCGCTATATTTATATGTATATGAGAATTGGAAGACAGGGGGAGTGAATATTGAAGCAGAATGCCTGAGCTTATCACCAACATTTTAGGTTTATTGCAGAAATCCATTAGCGCCCCTCTCTCTACCTCCCAACTCCCCCCCCCCTCATAGTCCATCCTTATTGAACTTAACGTTGAGAGTGGTTAAGGTGATAGGGTAAATACGACCATTTTGGTCTTTCTTTTTTACTTTTCTACTTATTAAACTCTTTATAATATACTGAGATATCAAAATGTTTATACAGCCTCGACTTTAAAGTGCCGCAACGCCTCGGTCTTTGGTTTTACCTCGACCAGAGCCCCAAACTTAAGACCAGTTTTGAAACCCGGGGTTCACGGATGGGTTTAGGCAGTTTTGTGGATATCAATATTTTTGTTATGAAATATTACGTTATTTAGTTTTTTCATATTTTCCATTTTTTTTCGAATCTCTTAAATCAAAATCTACACAAATGTTAAGACCCCAAAAAGGAAACTCGAAGGTTTCGTTCAACAATACTCTTTTAAATTTCGGGCTCTGACCAACTTACTCGTAGTTTTTAGTAGCCCTGACATATACATTTTAAAAACGCAATTCAGTCTAAAAATAAAAATTGTAAAAATTGTTTAAGCCTTCTTGTTTACAATATTCATTTTATTATAAAAAAATGACCGATATTCCAACCTTTTTCAGTCTCAACCTTTTTTTAATGAATTAAATATTTTTCATCCAAAATCGTCAGTCGCGCTCGCTTTTCAAATACCTTCCGAAGGGCTTAATTTCATTTTACTTTTTTAGGGGAGGTGGTATTTTTTAATAGATGTGTGATTGTAATAAACGTTGGAACATAACAGCCTAAATATTTTCCAATTAATTACTGAAGAAAAAGTATTTTTTTTTTTTACAAAAATAATGTTTTTTTCTATAATACCAAATAATATTTTTAATTTTATTGTTCAATTGTGTTGTGAAACCCCTGTTTTTTTACTCGCCCTGTAGTTAGATGAGAGGAGGGAGATTCCACTTCAGATCTAATAGAAAACTAATTAGTTTCTAAAGTAAACAGGATTTGAGTCCCGGAAGTAAACTTTGTGCAAAATATTAAAAAACGTTTTAGAACCATAATGTTGTAATCTCATTTAAAGATTTTATAAGAAACAAGAAAACGTATGTTATGGTAACTTTAATGTTCGTTTCATTTCTAAAAATTTAAACAAAACAAAAAAGAATTATCGGTGTTGGACAAAATTTTTAAAATTTTTGGTTTGTTCGTATTTTAGGGAAAAAATAAAATGTTTTTAAAATAAATTCAAAAATATTTTTGGAACATCTGCGAAATCAAAAACTTAAAAAAAAAATTTTTTTTCTAATTGTTGGGAATATGTTCATCGTATTTTTTTTTAATTTAAAAAAAAAAATTAAAAATTTAATGAGATTCAATTTTCAATGAATATTTAAAGAAATTTCGGAAAACTATAGAGTAAACATTTTCCCAACAGTTTTTTAAAAAAATTAATGTTTTAATTTGGTTTTTAATTTTTTTAAAAGTAATTTCGATTTTGAAAAAAATTAATCGAAATTTTTTTTTCTATGATTGTTACCCCCGATTGTACTTAAGAGTTCCTTAAACTCAGCCCAGCCGTTTGGCCAGCTATAGCTGTCATATAAATATATATATATTATATAGCGAAGAGCATTATTATAAAGAATATAATCAACGCAAAATTAGAAAATTAGATTTTGCTGTCAGTAAAACGTCTCAGATTCTTTTAGCACCTTTTAAGCCAAAAATCTTTATTGTTTAAAAACGGATCTGAAAATGATGCCCATACATATTTCTTGATGTTCTCTTATCTATGACATTATTACAATTTCTAGATTAATGATTGCATTTAAAATTGTGACAGGATTTCTAATTTCTAACAGCTTTACTCACATTCTTCTAAGATATTATATTTTTGAATTGAGTCTTTTCATATTATACTCAATCTTAAAAATTCTCATTATCATCTGAACTCTATTCTATCACGTTGTGTTTTGACTAGACTACAAAGTATAGACTAATAATATAAAACACTAAAGAAACATGTACATTTATAATCTTACATGACGCAAAACTACATGTAACATATCAGGGTTTAGACATACATTTAAAACAAAAAGGTGACCAATTTCAATGCAATTTTTTCAGTTGTAAGTTGTGGAAATAACCTAAGCCCAGATTCAAAAAGTGGAATAAACTTATCAACTTACAACTATGTGCGTAAGGTTATTTGGTAAATTGATTCATTTTTTTGTTGCATCCACTTACTCTAACAGTTTTACTTATAGTTTCATATTGTTCACTGCAGTCTGCAATATAAAATTGACGAACAAAAATAACAATTATCTTTTTTAAAGAAAAGTAGTTAAGTTTGTAAAATTGTTCATTATATGAACATATATTTGAAAAAGTTTTAAATCATTTTTAGAACTTGAGCTTACGTCATTTATAAAAGGGAACGCTAAAAAATAGTCAAAAAAAACTGAAATATAAAAATATTTCCAATAAAGTTGTATTTTAAGTGGATTTGTATTGGATTTATAGAACTGACGGGACATAACAATAGAACACAATTATCACAGAAATATTTAGGACTTTGTTTTCAAGGAAAATAACTTTGATCAAGCCTCTACATTTTCCCCCTTTTTGGTCAAGATTTGTTTGACACCCGGTTTAACTTTTTTCTCTTTTTCACAAAAAAAATAGAATAAACTTCATGAAATTAAAGTGCACAACAATAATTGTTAGTAGCAGAATGTAGGAATAGAAAAAACGGAAAAAGCTAAGTAAAGAGAAAAACAAGTGAGATTATAAAAAAGATGGCTAAAGAGAAAAACAAGAAAAATCAGGACAAAGGAACTTAATTTTAGCAACAAACTCTGATTATCTATATCCCTATATCTTTGCAAGCCAATATCCTAGACCTTTGATATTTCAAAACTATAAATTCTGTTAGAACAAAAAAATCTGTGTTTGAAATATCAAATGTTTAAATCCTTAAGTTGAAAAGATTAGGAAATTAGAGTTTGTGGCAAAGACTCAATTTCTTTGAAGAAATTAAAATTTTGCTTTTACAGATCTTTGTAGTCAGCTCTAAGCTATAGGTTGAATGTCCAGCCATGGTTGATATCACATATAAGAGCTCGAACACCAGGTATTAATATTTGGGAGACAACACAGACTTGCTCAAAGTTCATTCTCAGTGAAAATCTGTTTTAGGTACAACATTTAGGAGGGTGTCCTCAAATTACTTTAAGTTATAAGAACTTTTAGTCTGAAATCTGTAGGGATGGGATCTTAATTATCCTTCATGATAGAGTAGCATCTCGTCTAATCTGGGTAGAGCCCTAAAACCAGTTTATGCAGTGCAGACATATTTTTAAATATTCATGTACTAATACTGTATTCGGGTTGTAACGAGACATAGATTAATTGGACACTTTTTTTCTCCTAAAAATTGATATAGAAATACATACATACCAACTTCAAACCAAGACCCAACCACAACAAACCAAGGACATTCAAGAGCTATATGAAAGATTCAAATGCATAATTTCATCCTTTGATATTTGTAATAGCAGACATTTTTTGACTGAAATGATAAAAAATTGGATTTTAAAATGTTTTTGTATTTTTTCATGGAGTTATATGGAGTTCAGGATTTTGGAAGTTTTCAAGTGTTGAAGTGTTGAAGTGTTGAAGTGTGGAAGTGTGGAAGTGTGGAAGTGTGGAAGTGGGGAAGTGGGGAAGTGTGGAAGTGGGGAAGTGTGGAAGTGTGGAAGTGTGGAAGTGTGGAAGTGTGGAAGTGGGGAAGTGTGAAAGTGTGGAAGTGGGGAAGTGTGGAATTGTTGAAGTGTGGAAGTGTGTGAGTTGTCAATAAAATAAGATTAATAATTTTTTATGTCTGGTTTAGTAGCCAAAGTTCCCGGAAATTTATGAAAATTACACTCGATATTAAGGACTTAAAAAGTTTGATTCATCCCTAGTCCTGGGTGCTTCCGAGGCAATTTAGGTTGCGGCCCTAACTGTTAAAATCAAACGCTAAATTTTCTGGAATTAGAGGAGATGATACTCTATCGATCTGGAAATGTATCTATAAGTATTAAAACTATAGGATAAACAAATTATAATTTGAATTTTGACGGGACACCCGATCCATTCAATTTGACCATAGATTAAATACACATAGATATGAAAGGCAGGTATGGCTGCTTAGCTGCACCATCTGTGCATTACGCATGGCATTTTATCAAATAAGAAAGTTGGTGGATTATTTGAGATAACACAATATGTTTTATACTGTTATAGCTCCTGAGCCCGAAATTTAAAAGAATATCGTTGAAGGAAACTCCTGAATTTCCTTTTTGGGGTCTTAACATTTGTGCAGATTTTGATTTAAGAGATTCGAAAAAAAGAGAATATAAACAAACTGAAAAAAATAATATTTCGTCACTAAAATATTGATATTCACAAAACTGCCTAACCCCATTCGCGAAACCCGGGTTTTCATAACGATACCCTGTCTTAAGTTTTTGGGCTCTGTAGCATCAACAATGTATTCTGCAAATTGTACAATTAATGAAACAAGTTTATCAATGCACGTAAAACAAAAAGGTAGGTAAGTGACTAGACAAAGTTATAATATGTACGTTAATTGTTTTTTTTTTTTCTCATAAAAATGTATTTGTGGTATATCTTTTTATGTTTTTAAAAAATGTTTTATCTTTTGGTTTGGTATGAAACAATGCAATGTATTTTATATGCATCTACCTAAAGCGAATAGGCTGTTTAGTTTAGCCTCGAATTACCCGAATAAGTGAACGGTCCCTTTAACCGAAGTCTGATAGTAAAACTTAAGGTATAGAATTTGTAATGATTATTTTTAATACAGTGGCAGCAGGAAGAGAATGGAATATAGAAAGTACTCAATAGGCAGTAGATGTCTCCTATTTCACCTTTTTTTGAGAGCGAGAAATATGAGTTGTCTGCTACAAACCGTATAGGCAGGAGATTTCTATCTGCCTTTATATCTATGCATATGTAATCTATGAACTTGACTAATATTTTAAATTCAAATTAACTCTTCTCTTCGTTCTCGTTCATATATGGCGAGTATTCTTCCGAGTTTTGGGGCTCGGAGAATGGTCTGCCACGTTCTAGAGGAGGATGAAGCTCGGAAAAGGGACGTCTACGTTCGGATAAATATTTTTCCGATCTGTCTTGAGGATAGGAAGTCAACCCGCTCCTGTCAGCAAATTCTAGATAATTAATATTTAATCATTTTAAACTTTCTTCTGTAGATATTTCCATACTTTATTTTTGCCAAAGGAATTGAGTTTTTGCCACAAAATAAAATCTTCTGATTCCAATATATTTGCAATCTTTTGATGCAAACCTTTGATATTTCAAACTTAGTTTATTTTATCTGTATTTATTAATAGTTTGAAATATCTAAGGTCTACGACATTGGGTTACAAAGATATAAAGATTAGAAAATCAGACTTTGTGACAAAAACTCAACTCCTTTACTTCGTTTTTGCCAAAAACTCTGATTTTCTAATCACTATATCTTTGGTACCTATTGGGGTAAACCTTTGATATTTAAAACTTAGTCTAGTTGATCTAGCACAAATAATTGTTTGAAATATCAAAGGTCTCCGACATCAGGTTGCAAAAATATAGGGTTTAGAAAATCTGACTTTGTGGCAAAAACTCAGTTCCTTTACCGTTGATAGGTGACCCATCTCCTGGGAATGAATGTACATCTGGTGGTCTTTCCAGAAAGCAAGGGGGGCGAGGTGGAAAGTCAGGATATGGATTGTGTGGAAACATTTCTGGATTCGGACAATCAAACCCAGGAATCTAGGAAAAGGTATCATTAGGTACATATATGTACATTGTGCGTAGATAAAATTGTCATATAATTTAGGCTTTGATTAACAAATATGGGATTAGAGAAACGAACATAGGAAATGATTTAAGAGAACTTAAATGACCTGTCCAAGGCTTGGATTAAAATGCTGGTTTTGTAGATTAGGATTCTCCATTCTAAGATTAAAACTGTCAGTCATATTATTCAAGAATGTATGATGCAAAATTAATATTCATAGTCCAAAAATTAACAATAAAAAATACCTTGATTAAAGTTTATTGATTTGCAATTATTACTCTGATGTTCCCCTAATAGAGGTGAATCATTTCCCGAGTCTAAAACTAAAGAATGCGCGAATTTTAAGTTCGAGGTTAAAAGTTCTGTAAAATAATGAGAAGCTACTTAAATACTAAACTTTCTCAATTTTAAATTTGAATTTCCTGGGAAAAATCGGAACCAATCAGAGAAAAGGATTTACGGAGAATATTACATAACCATCGCTAATCAGCTGTTCTTACGTAACCGAAAACAAAACATACAACCGTTTCTTGGGTTTACATCCAAAAATTTCTTTAACAAGGTTTTCACTTTTAAATATATCGTAAAGTTGAATGCCGCTTTATCAGCTGCAGCTGAATGATGATTGAATAATAGACAAATAGGGAAAATGCAGGATTTCAAGATAATTTAAACCTCTGTTTAGATTTTAACTCGTCGATTTCGGCGAGTTAAATATTTAACCACAGGGTTAAATATTTAACCTCACGGTTAAAGTTCAGGTTTAAATTAAGTCAGAAGTGGCATTTAACCATGAACTTAAAATTTAAGTCAAAACTTTTCGTTCTTTAGTTTTGGACTCCGGTTGTTATTAAAAATGTATGTGAAAAATGGAAATCGGGACATTTATTTCCGCTTCAATATAAAACAATAAACCAATATGACTTAATGACTTAGTTTTCCTTAGCTGAAACTCCTGCATGGAGTGCCAGGGGGGATGAAACCCAGAGATATCAACTCCAGACATATCTACAGGAGAGTCCTGCCGAACTAAATAATAAAATAAAATGTTTAAAAGACGAGAAAAGTTCTTCATTTTACATATTCAAGTGCAACGAATTTTATTCATAAGCTAAAATAGTTTTGGTCACAAACTCTGATAAAAATCATAAAAATTACTTTAATTTTCAAATAGAAACTGGGAATCTGAAACTTGTTTTTAAAGAAAGGCAAAATTGTAAATATCATTATAACAAATTTTTAAATACTTTTCTTAGTTTTTGGCTCTGCAACAAGCGGGACAGATAAGATATAGGGACAAATTTAAAATAACATTTTGGAATATTTTTTCTTAGATTTTTTCATCTTCATTTCGTTAACGGGCAAGTCTTGGACTTATACCTGGAGATGTAGCGATCATTTGAATTCCGTTCATAGAACCGTATCCAATTTTTTGATGATCCTAAAACAGAAACTATACTTTATTTTAGTCAATAGTCATGCATTGTAAAGTAATACTTAATTAGTGGATCTGTATGGAAAAACAGGCAGATGCAACGAAACTGTTTATATCTCTCAGGAATCTTTCATAATAGACAAAAAATTGATTTTGGCGAATGAAAATGGGTAACTGGCTGTGATAATTGTCCTTTTATTTGAAAATCCATAAATCTTTTATATTTAACTAGTCAAACATTAAAAAAAGTTTTAAATAGAAAACACGGGAAATCTACATTAACTGGGTTAAAATGTTTTTGAAAGGGTAGACTACACCTCCCCCCCCTCTTTACTTCGACCCGCTGTTTCCATGCACTGTTTTACAAAACGACATGCTTAAAAAAATTAAATAAACCAAACAACCAAACATAATTCATAAATGTGAATTTTTTAATGGATGTTTGGAAATTAAGAGAGCTGAACTATTTTTAAAAACATTTTCAATATCAATTCTGTCAATTCTGCTTTTTTTCATGCGTCATAAACTCAAATGCACTAGAAAACTTATTAGAATACAAAAATTCATGGAATCACTTAAACTCTTTAATTAATAAACAACAACAAAAAAATAATTCTAGAATGAGATTCCTTTTTCACATGAATATTAATTTTCTTTCATATAAACATTGTTTTTAAAAGTAAAATTAATCTATTTGTTCATAAATCACACACAAAAAAAAACATAAATCAAGGGAACAACAAATTTTGTACTGACCTGGCACCCGTATAACACCAAGGAAATTGAAAACACTTTTATTTTAGATATTTACATGGCAGAATCCTGCACGATACTCAAGCGAAAAAAAACTTTATCGGAAAGATGAAGGAAATCAAAGCCATGATACCTTGGTTTCTTCTCTGATTTTCTTCTTCTCTTTACAACGTTTGTTCTGAAACCAGACCCGGACTACTCTTGGACTAGAGAAGATAACAAAAGTCTGATCTATAAAAGCTTGGCCTACGTATGTCAAAGGATCTGGCAGATTTATCGATGGATGAAAATCTTCTATGAAAAACTCTGCATGATCAAAATTAAGCTCTTCTTATTACAAAAAATCATTCTAGATTTTGTTTTGATTTGATCTTCCCTGAGTCCTGTCATTTCAACCAGTTGTTCCTTCATCAGTGCATCAGGCCGCGGATTTGCACTGAGAAAACGATCTTACAAATGTTTGCATTGTGCAACAAGACATTTATTTTATGATTATGAAATAAACCTGAAGCAGGTCTTCAGAATGTTTAGCTGCTTTTCTGTAAGAACCGTTCTAACTTTACCAGCTCTGCTTCTTCTTTCTCGTTCAGAAACATGTCTTCGATCCTTGATCTCAGTCCTACCTGTGGAGAAATGAATCTGCTAGTCTTCAGGCTTCATGAAGAAAAGAGGACAGGGGGCACACGGGGTGGGGGAGCAGGATGAAAAATATGTCCAACCTTTTCATCTCCTGGTTGTCCCTTATATCTAATCTAATTTAAAACATGCACCAGCACCATCCGTGTAAAGGTTTACCAGAATTTAAAGAAAATCTGGTGACATAATTATAATTCTACGTATTCTTAGATGTGCGGTAAACTGATAAACCTTTCTCCGGGATTCATTGCTAAGGGTTAAAGAGGTTCTCAACTACGGGATAAAACTTAAAAAAAGATCCACTAGAAAGGCCACTGACCTTTCTTGATATGAGCACTTCAGCCTTCACCCGCTTGTGTTCTTTGCAGCGCCGATTTTGAAACCAAACTCGAATTACTCTAGCGTTCAACCCGGTCATTTCAACCAGCTGTTCCTAACACAAAATCCGTTCAACCCGAACTTTCTCTCCAAAATTTATGATTACAATTATCGCTTGTGTAGAAAATATGTGAGAAAAATGTAAACCTTGAGTAAAGCGTCGGGTTTAGGATTATGCTGGAAACATGCTGTCAGGATGGTGCGTTGCTTTTCGGTAAGAACCGTCCTGCCCCTATTGGAGCGACCTTTCCCCGGCCCCCGACCTCGCCCTCGAGAGGGTGGAGAGGGGGAGAAAGGATCGGACGTCCCCGTGGCCCCCCTGTCCTCCAGTCCTTCTATTCTGTCCTGTCCTACCAACAAAACCTTGTTTACCAAAATAAACTATAGTTTTGATAATTTTATTTGAACAATTAGTAAAACAATTAGTTTTCTTCAATTCTAAAAGATAAATAATCAAACTTCATGTGCAATTTTGCTATGTTTTTGAAAAGGATTTAGCATATTTGAAAATAATATGTATCTATAAGTTTAAAAGTTGTTTACTCACTGCTTGAATCCCCGCGGGACGAGTCCGGTGATTCTGCTCGGATGGTTTCAGTTTCACTCTTTACATCTAAGCTACTAAGATCTTCTCTGAACCCATCCTCATCTCTTCCATTCTCACTCAAATTATCTCTGCAATAGTTAAACTACTTTTATTCAAGAAAAGGGATTAATAATAAGTTGAAGTGAAGATAGATCGATACCAAAATCTTAATTTTGTTTTTATAATATGTTGCATGTTTCAATAAATCAAAACAGACAATCTCATCTTTTTATTAGCTTATGAGAGAAATTAGATGTCTTTAAAAAATGAAGGAATAATTAACTTTGAAAATTGACATTAAAAACACCCTGTCTATGAAATATCTTAACTATGAAATGCCCTGTCTATGTATTCTCCTGTATATGAGCTGTCCTATCTATGAAACATCTTTCCAGGAAATATCCCAATTCCATTGGGATTCAGATTTTCAAGTCACTTTTAAGGATGCACATAATTATTTTACTTATATCGCGCGCAGTTTTTTTGAATAGGATATTACCAGGGGCGGACTAAACCAATATTTCAGAGGGGGGGGGGGGTGGCCCATATTTGCGCGCGTAAGACAGTTTTGGACCCCCCCCCCCCTGGGCCCCCCTCCGTAAAAATTGAACACAAAGCAGTAAAGGAACTGAGTATTAGCCACAAATTCTGATTTTCAAATCGCTAAATCTTTGCAACCTAATGGTGTTTACCTTAGATATTTCAAACTATCATTATTTGATCTAAAAAAATTCATAGTTTGAAATATCTAAGGTCTCCAACATTGAAATGCAAAGATATAGGGATAAGAAAATCAGAGTTTGTGACAAAAACTCAATTCCTTTCCAATTTCTTTTTTATTATCACATTTCGAGATTTACATTTCAAAAAATTGTACATTGTTAATAGACTCTGTTCAATTAAATTGTGCTTTGCTTTTATTTGATGCTTTTATTTCATATCATGCATTTCCTTGGGGGAGGAGGCGTGGGCTCAGGCCCCCCCCCCTCTAGTCCACCCTTGTATATTACTCCAACTTTAAATGAAAAATGTTAGTACTAGGCCTTTTAAATTCGGATAAAGAAGAAAAAACAAGGACTAAAAATAGTAATGATATTAAACGTATATATACCTAAAGTTATCTTGAAATTCTGTTTTGATTGTAAGATTATTATTATCCTCCCGGTCAACCATTTCATGATCTTCTCTACATAGTAAACCCGTTCCATGAAGTGCAAACTCGTCTCCAGGTACTTAATATAGAAATATTAATGCTTTAGAATCCAAAGTCGAATTGGGATTAACTGTATATACGGAAGATTACGGGCGACATTAAAAATAAGCTAAAGCTATAACAGTAGGATATGTTATATAAGACTTCTCCCTTTTTTCTTCCAGTTTTAACGTCGCGACAACTTTAAAAGCATGCATGGTTCTTTTTAATCTATGTAAACATTTAATGAAACAGAATCAAAATCCTGAATCACCGAAAACCTAGTTTTGGTTTAAAATGATATTGAAACTCTCGAATCCTTCCAAAAATGTACCACAAACTTCTAAAGAATATTTTATCGATTTCTAGTTCTAGTTCAAAGATACAGTAAAAGACAAAGTCAGCATATATTTTGCATGATTTCTGCGTTATTTATCAATTGACCATGAGCATAGAATGTAGGTTAGCTAGCTGTTTCACAACTTCACAAGGTCTGATTTTCTAAGTTTGTAAAGCGTTTAAAATGAAATTAAGAAGGCGGATGAGCATGGTAGAAGTCAATGTAGAAAGATATTTTACAAGTTACTATTAAAAAAATCCTCATCGGTGCGAAAAAGGTCGGCACGTCGACAACGTAAGCGAATCATATTTCATACATTAGAGCACATTCTAAATTACAAGTGTTTAATTAATTAAACCTTATAGCTTACCTAGATGACGACTGCAGACAGAACATCGGAAACATTCAAGATGAAACATTTTAGTTTTGGCTCGCATAACAAAATCATTCTTCGAGAAAACGGCGTCGCAGGATGCACATCGCGTACTGTACAATCTAAAAACATTTTTTTAAGAAGGACGAACCAAAAATATACTTTTTTTTAACTTTCAGATGGCTTTCAATCCTAATTCTTTTTAATAAGATAACTGATTGATCTCCACAAACCCCGAATTTAAATCTCTTTGCAACCTGTGGTGTTGTTAACACATCGATATTCGCAGCTGTATTTCTACTACTGGTAATTTCCTTTCCTTAAAGGGACTGTAGTAGTAATTTTAAGTGACACCCCATTTACAATTCACTTGGATTCACTTGAAAGATTTGTCTGATCAAGAATGAATGAGATATCCATGTTTTCTCGATGTAAACTAATTGTTTTCTAAATAATCCAATAGGGTGTTTACGTTTTGAGAATAGATTTTTTAAAATTATTAAATAACGACGACGAAAAATGTGTAAAAAATTGACATTAAACTAATTAGATGTTTATGAACATATTTGAAATTTGTCAATAAATCAATGTTAGAATCAATTATTTCTTTTTCGTCATTATAATGAATTTCTTCTTATTTACGAATTTGTTCGTAGATTTCTTCAAATTCTTCAAATGTCTTTTCAATAAAAATTCCGGAAAACAGAAACGTATTGTGAACAATGAGACATTAAAGAAACAAATAACTGAATAAGATTTCTTATTTTCGATAATAGGAGTCAATTTTTATTTTCTCAATTGGTTTACTTTAGAATTTTTGCTACATTTTTTGTCGTCGTTATTTAATAATTTTTAAGAAATCGATTCTCAAGAGGTAACCAACCAAATGGATGATTTTGAACGTCGACTTTCGCTCAAACTCCGTAATTGTACATAATGAAAATGTTTTATATGTCTCAAATGAATCCTAAAAAAATTCTCTACAATACTACATTCTCGGTTCAACTACCATATATTGCCACTCACTCCCTTTAAACTCTTTAAAAAACGACGATATCTCCACATTAATGATCAGATAAAGGTTTATAGAATAGTGGTTCACTTAAAACTAAAACGTCCGTCCCTTTAAGTTAAGTCAAAAGGGAAACGTAATACTAGGTGATTCTTTTTTAACTGAGAGTCATTAACTATTCACGATCACAAGTTTAAAATTCCACTTGTCTTTTAATTTCCAACTCATATAATTAGGCCCGGAGATCCAAAATCAATGATCTGTCCAACACAAAACAACAGTTAATAGCATTAATATTGATATAAGTTATATCCTTAAGTTATATCTTGAAGCAGCGTTAGATTTAGTTTATCTTCACGTCAATCTCATTTGTTTACTCCTAGATTAATCAAAGAATGCCAAGTTTAGGGGATATTATAGAAGAAAGAGTTCGAGAAAACGTTATCAATGAAAAGGCCTAGGGTTTGTCTCTTTGTTTAACAACACCTCTTTTAGTTTTAATTTATAAAATTATTGATGTAGAACACTCCTTAACACCACTATAAAAAATGTTTCCACGAACATAAAAAAATGTATAATTATACAACAAAGCATTATTTTAATCATACTTTTGTGAGAAATTCTTTTACCTTTGATTTTGAAATGGAGATGGGGAAAGGGATGCAGAAGAAGGTGGTTAATTAAGAAGGGGAAGGTTTATGTAAAAGGGGAAGGGGGATGTAAAATGGAAAGGATGTAGACGTAGAAGAGGGAATGTAGAAAGGAAAAAGGGCCCTAAAAGTATATGTAGAAGGGGGATAGAATTTAGAATGGGAATAGGGATATAGAATAGGAAGG